CCCCCCGAGAGGTGCTTGTGGGGCGCGACCCGCTCGGACAGGAACGCCTTCAGCTCCTCCGCCAGCCTCTCCTCCGCCTCTCTCTCCTTCCGCTCGTCTCCCGCGGGCGCGCCCTTCCGCCTCACCACGTACGCCCTCGGCACCTCCCCCGCCCGCGCATCCTCGACGCCCACGACGCCCACGTCGGCGACGCTCGGGTGGCCTCGCAGCTCGTCCTCCAGCTCGGTGGGGGACACCTGAGGGAGGAAGAATGAGGGAGGTGAGATGGAAAGAAGAGAAGGGAGGAGGAAGAAATGAGGGAGAAGGAGATAAGAAAAGGATGTGAAGGAAAGAAGAGAATAACAAGGGAGAAAAAAGGAGAAAGAGAGACAGAAAGAAGGAAAGGGAGGAGGAAGAAGGAAAAAATGAAAATGTGGGAAGGAAATGGAGAGAAGAAAAAGGGAGGAAAAGGAGAAAGAGAGACGGAAAGAAGGAAAGGAGAGAAGGGAGGAAACGGGGCGATTAAAATGACATTCTCTCAAGAAATTGGGTGTAATCTTAATGGCAGTAATTTCCCCCTTTCGCCCCTCCCGCTGCCCCGCCAATTAAGCACTTCCTTCGCTTTCTCCTTAGCGTCAGTTTTCCCTCTTCTTTCCTTTATCTTATTTTCCCCTTCTTCACTCTTCTCCTTTCTTATTTTTTTTTTCTTCTCTTCTTTCTCCTTTATCTTATTTTCCCTTCTCTTCTTTCCTTTTATCTTATTTTCCTTCTCTTTCCTTTAATCTTATTTTCCCTTCTCTTCTTTCCTTTATCTTATTTTCCCTTCTCTTCTTTTCCTTTATCTTATTTTCCCTTCTCTTCTTTCCTTGTATCTTATTTTCCCTTCTCTTCTTTCCTTATCTTATTTTCCCTTCTCTTTCCTTATCTTATTTTTCCCTTCTCTTCTTTCCTTTATCTTCTTTTTTTTACTTATGAGTCTCTCTTTTTATTCTATTTTTATTTCTTTATTATCTAATTTTTTTTTTTATTTTCATTTTTTACTTATTAGTGTCTTTCTATTTCCAATTCCTTTATTATCTTATGTTTTTTTTGTTTTTATTATTTATTCATTCATTCATCTTATTTCCCCCATATTCTCCCTTTAATTCTTTTTACGCATCTTATCTTCCTTTCCTTCCCCTCTATTCTCTTTTCGAAATTCTTTCATTATCTACTCTCTCTCTTTCTCTTATATTTTTCCTTATCTCTCCCTACATTTTCCCTCTTTCTTTTCCTCCTTCGCATTTCTTTTCCTCCCTCCCTCTCCTCCTTCCTTCGCGTCTTCCTGACGGTCCTTACCCCCCTTCCCCCTCCCTCGCCCCCTTCCCCGCTTTCTTTCCCACTTCTCCTCCTTCCTCCCCTCTCCTCCTTGGCCTCTCTCAGCCTCTCCGTTTCCCCGTCTTTTTCCTTCTATCCCTTCCCTATTTCCTTTTCCCATTCCTTTTATTCTTTCCCATTCTTCTTTTCTTTCTATTTTTTTTCTTCTTTCTTTTTCTTTTTTCTTCTCCTTTCCTTCTTCTTCCTTCTTTTTCTTCTTCTCCTCCTCCTCCTCCTCCTCCTCTCTTCTTTCTCCTCCTCGTCCTCCTCCTTCTTTCCCACCTCCTTTCCCTCCTCCCCCCCCCTCCTTCTCCCTCTCCCCCCTCCCTCCCCCCCCGCCCCCCTCCCTCCCCCCTCCTCCCCCAAAGGATCCCTCACCTGCAGTCCCTTGACCTTGATGAGTTCCTTGGATCCTATCACTATGTAGAAGTATCCTTCGCTGTCGTACTTGGCCACGTCGCCCGTCCTCAGCCAACCGTCCGCTGTCATGACGTCACGGGTAGCGTCCTCGTTGCCATGGTAACCGCTCATCATCTGTTGTGTGGGGAAGAGGGAGATTTTTAGGGTGTGGGTGGGAACGAGGGCGTGAGGGGTCAGAGGGATATATATATCAAATATATATACATGTATATATATATATAATATATATTATATATATATATATATATATATATATATATATAGAGAGAGAGAGAGAGAGAGAGAGAGAGAGAGAGAGAGAGAGAGAGAGAGAGAGAGAGAGAGAGATGCATATTTTTATGACCTTCCTATTACAGATTTACAGATTTTGTCTCCTGCCTATAGCTATCCACTGATGAATCTACTCCACGCCCACACACCAATCCCTACCAACCTATCCCTCTCCTCTTCCCCCTTCCTTCCACCTCTTACCCCCCTCCCCTCCCCCATCTCCCCTCCTTCACAGACCCCCTCATCCCTCCCCCCCCCAATTCCCCCACGCCCCCACTCCACCTACCGCGGGCGTGTACAGCACCAGCTCCCCAGCTTCTCCTGGCGGAAGGGGCGCCCCCGTCTTCAGGTCTTCGACACGCGCTCGGACGCTGGGCAACAGGACGCCGCAGGACCCTATGTTCTCCTTCCCGTTCAGGGGCGTGAAGTGAGTCGGCATCGTTTCAGTCATGCCGTAGACTGAGGAGAGAGAGGA